AGATACTAATTCAACCTATTAAAAATACAAACAAATTGCTTGTAGATTTTGGATATCCACTTCAACGATATACTAATTTCTTAAATCAATTATATCTATATATCGAGCAGTGGACATTGTTATATCCTAGGCACGAAAAGAAAGGGAATTTGAAGCAGATCTCTCAACTTGAAAGAATTGAAAGCTGATAAAAGAAAAGAAAAGAAGAAAATAGATCTCGAAAGCGGTCGATGGCGAAGGACTCAAACTCCTCGAGTCTAACTTCGAGTGACGGAGTAGAGCGATAAAGGGGAATTGTAGGAACATAAACGGCGTCGAAGGAGGAAGACAAGAAGTTACTCCGACTCCACTTCAATCTTGAATCTAATTTGATTTTAATAAACCCTAATTTGGTGGTGCTTAATTTCATATTTTATAAACTTTTTGAGCTAGGGTTGAAGATGATGAAAGGTAAGGTTGAAGATCATGAGAGGTAAAGTTGAAGATGATGAACCCTAGTTTGGGTTTCAATTCTCAGAATTTTTTTTAATTATATATTCCACGTATAAAGTTGTGAGTGCCACATTTAAAAACCTATCCACGTCAATGTCCCAAGTCATAAAAAACTTAACCCCGTTAAGCCAATTTAATGGCGGGGGCCCAATTGAGTCAATTTTTCATTAAAACAGATTAAATTGGTGAAACCAATAACACGGGGTCCTAACTGGAAAAAACCCACATAAATAGAAACTTCCGAAAGGGTTTAACCATACTATTATGTTAAAAGTTGTTACAGATCAGTGATGACCGAAGTGCATCATTTGCATACTGAATGTGGTCTAGCTTGTGAGGTTTCTAGTGCAAGTTATGTTATGTTATATATAGTGTTAGGATAATAGTTTCACTTTCCTTCGCATACAAGTGTTTGACTGCTTTATTATTTTCTAATCAGTGATGGTCGTTCAACGACTTTGTGATTTATGCGACACGTTCTTTTTACTTCAGTTTGCAATGATTATGATCTCAACATCGCAACCTATGTTATTCATACTAGGTGACAGTGGTTTATTAAAGAACTCGTCGTTCATTGTCTGGCTAAGTTGACAGTGATTCCTTTTGGAACTCTCCTTTCATCAACTTTAGTGTTCTGTGTACTGGGTGACAGTGGTTCATTTTGAAGAACTCGTCATTCACCGTCCGACAAAGTTGATAGTGGTTCCTTTTGGGAACTCTCCGTTCATGAAGTTTAGTGTTATATGTACCGAGCGGCAATGGTTCATTTGAAGAACTTGCAATTCACCATCCGGTTAAGTTGACAGTGGTTCATTTTGGAACTCTCCGTTCATAAACTTAAGTATTAAAAGAACCAGGAGGCAGTGATTAATTTGAAGAACTCGTTGTTCATCGCCCGACCAAGTTGACAGTTGTTCCTTTTGGGAACTCCGTCCATCAACTTGATTTTCATTTGCTCATTATCCGTTCGTTGTTAGTAGTGGTCGTGCAACATTGCCATGGGCGGAATGTTGAGAACATTATATTAACTTTTAACAAGAAAAGAAAATACAATGAATACTTATTCAACTAAAATAAAACTTTAAGTGTGAAGCATTCTAGATGTTGGGGATGTCGTCGTCCGGATGGGCTAGGCGATAAGCCGCATTCTTAAGGTCTCCTGTTATCCTAAAGGGTCCTTCCCATTTGGCAGCGAGTTTTTCGTGCTACGTCGTCCGTCTTGCGGTCCCTGTCTTTCTCCACACCAAGTCCCCCTCTTGAAAGTTCCTAGGCCCTACCTTCGTGTTGTATCTTTTTTCAACTAGTCGTTTGCATGCCTCCGATCACACAATCGCTGATTCTCGTCGTTCCTCTAGGGTGTCTAACTCCACCCTCAGTTCTCTTTCGTTTAATTGATCGTCCTCCAATTTTCGTCGTAAAGATGACTCTCCTACCTCCACAGGCATGGCATCAGTGTCGTAGTTGAGGTTGAAAGACGTTTCACCGGTCGTCCCGTGTAGGGTGCACCGGTATGCCCATAAGACTTCAGGTAATTCGTCCACCCAAGCTCCTTTCCTCTCACCTAGTCTTCTTTCCAACTCAGCCACGATGGTTTTGTTGATCGCCTCTACTTGACCGTTTGTTTGCGGATGCTCCATGGAACTGGTGACGTGTTTAATCTATAAGCTTTTAAAAAATTTGACTAATTTTTTGTCGATGAATTGTCTATCATTGTCTGTAACAATCGTTTGGGGGAGCCTGAATCGATAAACCAATTTCAAGACAAACTTCTGCACCTGTTGGGTTGTGATTGTCACCAAGGCTTCCGCCTCCACCCACTTGGTAAAATAGTCGATGGCGACGAGGAGGAACTTCTTTTGGGCCCGTCCAGGTGGGAAAGGGCCGACGATGTCCTTTCCCCACTAGCAAACAGCCAAGGAGAGACCATGCTATGCAATACAGCTTGAGGGGCCGGCGTATACATCATTGGCGTGGGCTTGGCAGGCTGGGCACTTCTGCACGAATTGTTTAACATCTTATTCCATGGTAGGAAAGTAATAACTTGCCTTGATAGCCCTATCTTTCAGAGTCTTTCGTCCGGTATGAAAGTCGCAAACTCCGTTGTGTAGCTCATCCAACATATATTGTGCCTCGCGCTCCGAAAGGCATTTGAGGAGAGGGGTGGAGAATCCCCTTCTGTAGAGATCCCCGCTTATGATGACGTACTGAGCAATCTTTCGCGCGTCCGCTGGGCGGATTAATTGTTCGGTGTCCTTCTCTTTCATAAGTCGTACGATCTCCTGTTTCCAATTATTGTCGTCTATGATGGGTGCTGCTAGGTATTCTACCGAAGGCCCCGTCAACACCCGCCGGATGACAGCGGTGAGTTTTCCCTTCTCCTTGCCACTGGAAAGTTAAGAAAGCATGTCCACCCAGGAATTGTCTTCGCGAGGGATGTTCTTGATTTCAATCTTTTCAAAGTCTTTCGTTAGGGCAGAGGCTTTGTGGAAATATCGCAGGACGTTGTCGTCCTTGATCTTGAAGTCAGTATTCATCTGTTCCACCACCAACTATGAATCCGTTCGACATGTCACCCATCGTACGCCCATGTCCTTTGCAAGTTCCAATTCCGCCACTAGTGCTTCGTACTTCGCCTGATTGTTCGAGGTTTTGAATTTGAACACCAGGGAGTGCTCTAAGAGGAATTCGTTGGGTCCTTTTACTACAACCCCGACACCGCCACCCGCTTGACCAGACGCCCCGTCCACGAACAAGTTCCACTCAAAATTGGGAGTGGTTTGGGGTAATTCCACTTCGAAGTCTGCCAAGTGTTGTCCTTTGACAAATCCTCTTGGGTTGTAACGTAGGCCGAATTCTGACACCTTCACCGCCCAACCGTCCATCGGACCGGCAAAACCAGGCTTTCTTAAAATTTTCGAAACGGGATGGTCCATTCGGAACTCTATTTGGTGGCTTTAAAAGTTAAATCGCGTTGAGTAGTGTCTGCGCGACCTTTTCTACTTGTTGGTAGCGAGTTTCAGTGTCCTGAAGAAACCAACTTATGAAATAGACAAGCCTCGGCTTAGACTTTTCTTGCATCAAAACGACGCTGATGGCCTCATCCGACACCCCCAGATAGATTTATAGATCTTCCCCTTCTCCTGGTCAGTTCATGATTGAGGAGAAGGTCAAGACTGTCTTCACCTCTTCAAAGGTCATCTCGCAATTCGCTTCCCATTTTTCCACCGGCTCCTTCTTCATCTTTTTCAGTACCGGTCATAAGCGCTCGGCTAGCTTAGGGATAAACCAGAAGAAGATTGTCAATCTACCGACCAGCCTTTTGACCTCCTTCAAGGTCGTTGGCCTCTTCAATTCTATGATGGCTACACACTTGTCTGGGTTAGCTTCTATTCCTCGGGTTGTCAACATGAACTCTAAGAACTTCCTAGCCCCCACCAGAAAGGTGCATTTAGCCGGATTCAACCTCATTCCATACTGTCGAACCTGCTTGAAGATTTCCTCCACTAGTTTCTTCTTGATAGTCGTGCTCTCAGCGGGGACGGTTTTTGTCCCACTCTCTCTTACCTTGGTCTCAGTCGGCCGCCAAGAGTCGTCAGGCGTCGTGTTTTACTTCATCCTTTCCTCCAGGGCAGCCTGGCCCTGTTCTTCCTTTACCGTCTCGCCTACTTCTGGTGCTTTTTCCTACGCAACTTTAGCTGTGCACTACGCCCATAGTGCTTCCAACTCTACCCCGTGGCGTTGTTGCATCTCCTCCATCTTTTGTTGCAGCATCCTAATCATCTCCGTCGGATCTTCTGAACTCATATTTCTCGTGGTCACCATTGGGTATTGATCAAGTCACTCGGCCACATGGTGGGCGTCAAAATGTTTCGGGTATGAGGTCGAGTCACTTCAAACACCTACACAATTTATTCTTAAGTGTTGTTCGATAACTAACTCAAGTCCTCGTCTTCACTCCACCGTCTGGACGGGTACCTAACAAAGGTTCTCCACTGATAAAGTTAATAAATTGTCCGTACAGGAGTTCAGTGTAATGGTAATAAATGCACAGTAAATGTGATCATCTACCTCTTACTTTTGACCTATATTTATAGTTTTTGACATAGGCTTGAGATTACTGAAACCTTAATCTCGACCCAATCTCAGTCTAATACCTCTAATTACCATTTACCTTAATCGCGATAGAAAACCTTTTT